CGCCATAGGTTAAATAAAACTTTCAGTTCGGTATTTCCTGTGGTTTACTCGGATCTACATACAGATGATGACAGCCGGAGAACAAAACAGCCTCAACGTTTATGACAGCGCAAACAGAGCCGAGAACAATAGTACGCAGGTAAATAACCGTTTTCTTTGTTTCTATTAAAATTTCCTTATATCTTTTCTTAGTTTCTGTAAGGTATTTGACGCTAACCCTATGCGACTTTCTAATTCTATTAGGTTGGTGCAAAAATAATGACGTAATAATGTCGTTTTTTGACGTATTTTTTAACGTCAAAAAACGACATTCTTACGTCATTATCTTTGCACCAACCTAAGATATCGCATATTAAATCGTCTGTTAGTACGTCAGACAAATTCATATGTCTTAACATAAGTCTATGGAAGCTAGAGGAATGTACTCAATATTGTTTATGAGCAAGAATATCCTGGGAAGTTCTCCAGAATAATCGAGTATGTTTTCTGTTTCTCTTTCAAGAACACAAATACGCAGAATAAGGAAATAGACATATTTCCACAAGAATACTAAAACAGCATGCAAAACGCTATACTGCACCATATATATATATATATATATATATATATGTATGTGTGTGTATCTTTGTGTGTGTATCTGTGTGTGTGTATGCGTGTGTGTATGCCTGTTTGCACATACATAAACATTCGTCGTCAACACTTCCAGCGTTAACACACGCTTAGATAGAAAGTGAGGAAGAATTTGAAAAGAAAAAAAATAAATACACACACACAAAACTAAAAGCCAGCAAAGAAGAGACAAAAATTGAAAAGACATGAACTTATCGGCTGGTCGCTTGGCGCCTAATTATCGTGTGTTTCCCGTTCGGGTCTCCAATCTTGGCGCGCGCTGCTGGGGTGATGCTCGCATCAGAGAGATAACCATCAAGCGGCCATGTCCGCCATTGGAAAATGCAGGTCTGCAAGAAGTAGAAGACATTCTAAACATTCCGCGGGAACCCATCTTGTGGGGAAGCCAACGAAGTGCCGGACACACAGACAGACGCAATAGGAGAAAGAAAGTGATAGAAAAAGAGAGAATGGAAGAGAGAGAAAAAGAGGAGGTGGTTGAGTTAAATAGACGAGCAGGGCTGGAAGGTGAGAAAGCAATCAGAAATGGGGTTGAATAGGGGTTACATTTCGACATGCATTTAAAAAAAAATATTTTGTTCTTTTAGGTGATATATCATCATCATTGCCAGCAGTATGTTAACATCGTTCTTGCTTTAGAATTCATTGTGTTTTTCTAAGCTTACTTGTGAGTGAAATTATCAGCATTAGAGTCTCTTTCATTGTTGTCTTCTTTTTCTTCTTCATTGTCTTCATCGGCATCCTTGCCGTCCTCTTCTTTCTCTATTCGTCTTCCTCTTTGTTTAGTTTCTTATTTCTGTTGTTACTTTTTATTACTGTCGGCAGGATCTTTTATTATTTATTCTTACCTTTCTGTTCACACCTTTTTTCTTTTTTCTGTCTTTCTTTTTTTAATCATTATTCTTTTCGATTTTCATCATTTTCTTCTTTCTATTTTCTTTATATTTCATTCAACATCTTTTATTCTCTTTCATTTATTTCATGTTTACTCTTGTTTATTGTTTTTTGTTTATATACGTTATTATTGCCATTGATTTTTGTTTATTTTTCATATTGCTTCCATAATTTTACATTTTTCTTCTATTTCTTCTTCCCGATTTACTCTCTCTTCTATTCTACCGTTCTTTTTCACGTCTTCTTCATTACATTTTTTGTTTTGTTTTTGTCCTTCTTCTTCTTCTTCTTCTTCTTCTTCTTCTTCTTCTACTACTACTACTACTACTAATAATACTTCTATTTCTTCTTCCTGTTTATTTGCTTTCTTCTTCTTTTTCTTCTTTTAGTCCTCTTCCCTCTTCTTTTTTTGCACCTTCTCTTTTTTCTTCATTTTTATTCTACCGTTTCTTTTCACGTCTTCTTCATTACCTTATTGTGTTTTGTTTTTGTCCTTCTTCTTCTTCTTCTTCTTCTTTTTCTCTTCCTCCTCCTCCTCCTTCTTCACCTCCTCTTTCTTCTTCTTCTTTTTCTTTTGCTACTACTACTACTAATACTTCTATTTCTTCTTCCTGTTTATTTGCTTACTTCATCTTTTTCTTCTTTTAGTCCTCTTCCCTCTTCTTTTTTTGCACCTTCTCTTTTTTCTTCATTTTTATTCTACCGTTTCTTTTCACGTCTTCTTCATTACCTTATTGTGTTTTGTTTTTGTCCTTCTTCTTCTTCTTCTTCTTCTTCTCTTCCTCCTCCTCCTCCCCTCCTCTTCCTCCTTCTTCTCCTCCTCCTCTTTCTTCTTCTTCTTTTTCTTTTGCTACTACTACTACTAATACTTCTATTTCTTCTTCCTGTTTATTTGCTTTCTTCTTCTTTTTCTTCTTTTAGTCCTCTTCCCTCTTCTTTTTTTTTTTTTGTTTTCTTCTCTTTCTTCTTCTTCATTTTTATTCTACCGATTCTTGGCACGTATTCTTCTTCTTCCCTCTTTACTTTCCCTTCTATTCTATCGATTCTTTCAACGCCTTCTTCATTCCTTTGTCCTTGTTTTTCTTCTTCTTGTTCTTCTTCTTCTTCATTTGCTACTACTACTACCACTACTATTTCTTCTTGTTTATTTGCCTTCTATTGTACCGATACTTCTTCTTCTTTTAGCCTTCTTCTTCTTCTTTTTCACCTTCTCTTTCTTCTAGATCATTTTTTCTTCTTGTTATTCTTTTCCTTTTTCTTCTTCTTCTTCATGGTTTTCGTATAAGTCGATGCTATAAATTCTTGCCCCGTTTGTCAATCTTCTCTTAATCTTCTTCTTCTGATTCTTATCCTCTTCTCCTACTTATTCATTTTCTTCCAATTCTTCATTTCTATGCTAGCGATTCTTTCATCTTTTCTTCTTCTTCTTCTTCTTCTTCTTCTTCTTCTTCTTCTTCTTCTTCTTCTTTATTGTTTCCTTTCCTTTCTATTCTAACGATTCTTCCTCATCTTATTATTGTTCTTGTTCTTTTTTCATATTCCTCATGGTTTTCATATATACCCTTCCATCTATACTGCAGAAACTTGCCCCGACTTTGATTTTTTCTCTTCTTTTACTTCTTCTTCTACTAGTCCCCTTCTTCTTCTACTTCCTCTTCTTCCTGGTCTTCTTCATTTTCCACCAACTCATTTCACGCCTTCTTTTTATTCTTATTACCCTCCTTAACCTTCTTCTTTAAGGTTTTTCTATATTTCCCTTCCCTTCTATGTTACCGATTCTTAACATGTCTTCTTCACCTTCTTCCCCTCCTCCGCATCGCTTTTTTTCACCTCTTGCATCTCCTCGGCTTTCTTTTCCTTCCCCCTCCTCTTTCTTCATCTTATGTTTTCATACTTATTCTTCGTCCTATATTTCGCCTTATCTCTTCTTTTCGTCTATGCCATTACTCTCCCTCTTTTTTTTTTCCTTTTTTTTTCTCTTTCATGGGTATTACCGCCATTGTTTTACTTCTTCATCTTTTCCTTCATTTTTCTTCTCTTTCATCGTCATTGTCGTTAGTCTTTCCTTTGTCAAGTTTTCCATCCTTTTCTTTACAGTCACTATTTTCAACATTCTTTAATTCTCTGTGTTTTCTTTCTTCTTTTTATAATTTTTATCATTCATTGTCGTTCATAATGCTCGTTTTACTCTTTCTCTTTTCCTTCTTTTTCTTTTTCAAATTCCTTCAGCATAATCGTTATTCACATCGTTTCGTATAAAGAAGAGACATAAGGAGTATAAAAGACGATTCGAATGACGATCGAGCTGAAAAATTGGAGGAGAAACGGAGGAAGTAATTTTTTTTCCAAATGTCTTCTCTTTCGTCGTCAATGGCGTCATCATTTTGCATCTTCATTATCGCCTTGCCTCTCATCTTCATCTTAGTCTTCTATTTGTTTTTATTCTAATTTTTATCATCTTTAACATCATGATTACCTTCTTTTCATCCCTATTGCTTTTATTACGATATCACTTTTCTTCATCATCATCATCATCTCTTCACTTCATTCTCCTAAACACCATTCCTTCTTTACATCGTCATTTTCAACATTTCCCCCTTCTTGCTTTTCTTTCTCATATTTCTATATTTGTTTAATTGACTCTGCCATCATCTTTCCGTTTTTGTTTTTTTTGTTTGTTTTTTTTTCAGTCTTATTGATTTTATAAGTATTTCTTATTTAGTGTCACTCCTGTAATCTTTTTGTCCTTTCCTTCCTGTACATTTTTCATATCTTCCTCTTTTAATCGATGTTTTTAAATTCTTTTTACAATGTGTCACATTTTTCCTTCTTTGTTTTTCTTGTTTCATTCTTTTTCCCCAACTTCTTTTTATCAAAAATCTTTTACTTTTTTTTTTCTTTATTCTTTTATCCCATTATTTCTTCCGGGGTTTTCGTATCATTCTTCTTCCGTTTTATACTTTTGCGTTTTCCTTTTTTTTGTAGTCGTTTCGTTCTTCTGTCATTTTTTAATCTTCTCCTCACTTTTCTTTCCTCCCTATTTTTCACTCATTTCGTCATTGTCCTTATTGTTTATTCCTTCAATAGTAGCAAAACGTCATCCCTTCTTCTTCTTCTTCTTCTTCTTCTTCTTCTTCTTCTTCTTCTTCTTCTTGCTTTTATTATTGCGTATTTTACCTTTAATTTCCTCGAATTCTTACCACCTTTTCTCATCCTTCTCCTTATTATTCTCCTTCTTCTTGACATGCTTCTTCTTCTTCTTCTTCTTCTTCTTCTTCTTCTTCTTCTTCTTCTTTTTTATTATTGCGTATTTTACCTTTAATTTCCTCGAATTCTTACCACCTTTTCTCATCCTTCTCCTTATTATTCTCCTTCTTCTTGACATACTTCTTCTTTTTCTTTTTCTTCTTCCTTCTCCTCCTCCTCTTCTTCCCCCTTCTTTTTTCCTTTTCCACCTATTTTTGTCGATTACTTAAAACGTTTTCTCCTCCTTCTCCTTATTACTCCCCTTCTTCTTCTTCTGCAGATGCTTCTTCTTCTACTTCAACTTCTTCCTCCTCTGTTTCTTCTTTTTCAAATATTTCTTATTGCCCTTTTCACCTTCTATTCTGTCAATTCTTTGCCCGTTTTTTTTTTCTTCCTGACTCGATTCTTCCTATTTTTCTTCCCTTTCTTTTTATATTTCGCTGTTGTTGTCATCGTAATTATTACTTTCTTTCAGTTTATTTTCATTGGCATCCTCTTCTTTTCTTTTTTTTATATTATTTTCACTTTTCTTCTTTTTGTTCATCGCCATTACTATGACTTCCCTCTTCGTTTCATTCTCCTCACTTTTTTTTTATTGCTGATGTCATTTCTATACTCTTGTATCTTCCATTTTCTGTTTCCTTCTCATTCACGCAGCCATTTTCCTTTTCACCAACATTTTTCTCTCTCTTTAACTTTTAATGTCATTCAACGCTTTCTTTGGTTTCGTATACACGCGCGTTCATTTCTTTTGTCCATCCTTAAAGATGTTATTATTTTACCTCAATTTTTAATATCTGGTCTGCTGCTACTGCTGCACACATTAAGATTCTTGGAGATAATCCAAAAGAAAGGGCTGTAATGGAATCGATTCAGTCACTTTCTCACTTACGTGACATGGCTTTCTTCTGTCTTTTTTACAAATATTTTCATGGATTTAAGTGTTCTACTAGATTGGCAACTAGGTCCCAACGTTTTACTGTTGAACTAGCTCGATGTAACCGCCACTTCTAATCTAACATTTTTTTTTCTCACCTTTGGAAATCCCTTCTGATTTCTTACTTCTCTGATTACAATTTACAACAATTAAAATTGTTCTTTCTTCAATCATTTCCTTCTCATTCTCCTTTACTTCCTGCAACCGCTTGCGTTCTCGCGACATTATCGCGATTAAGAGAAAAAAATCTTATTTCTTGTTCACATTGTCAGGTTTGACAAGATTCAGTGCCACGTCCTTCTTGCATTACATCAGTTCCATGTTTTAAGCTATACTTTTCTTCCAAAGCCTCTTAAATTTCAATTTCCGACAAATGCCTGGACTTTAGCTTTCCTTGGTCCTAAAATAGAGTATTTCTTTCCAGAAATACATATTCCTTCCTCTTCTCTCTCACTCTTTCTGTATCTATCTATCTATCTATCTATCTATCTATCTATCTATCTATCTCTGTCTCTATCTCCCTGCCTTTCCATCTCTCTGCCTTTCCATCTCTCTCCCCTCCCAACTCCGGACATGATTATTACATCTTCTGTCTCTTCCTCTGACTCTATCTTCTTTCGAGTTATGATCACTTCCCCATCTCTCTATCACTCTTGCTCACTCTCCACTCTCTCTCTATTTCCCTTTGCATTCTGACATGATCACTTCACCCCTCTCTCTCTCTCTCTTTCTCTCTCTGTCTATCTCTCTATGTGTATCTCTCTTTCCATTCTGATATGAACACTGCATCTTTACTTGTCGCTCATTCTCTCTATATATCTCTGTTTCTTGTCTCTCCCCTATTGTTCCCAGTCACTCTCAAAGCTCTCTCTCCCTCTCTCTCTCTCTTTCTTGTCTTAAACTATATCTCCTTCTCTCTCCATCTCTCTCTCTCTCTCTCTCTCTATCTCACTCTCTCTCTCTCTCTCTCACTTACTCTCTCTTGCTTGCAATCCCTCTGTTTCCTTTCTGGATATGTTCCATTCATCTTTTCTTCTCTCTCCCCCCCTCTCTCTCTCTCCCTCTCTCTCTCTCTATCTCTCTCTTTTCTCTATTTCTCTGGATCTTAATCTATTTCTCCGAATATCATCACTGTGTATTTTCTTTCTCTTCTCTCTCTATCTCTCTCTCTGTCTCTCTCTCTCGCGCGCGCGCATCACGCACTGACTCTAACTCTTTCCACCCCGGATATGATCACTGCCTCTTCTCATTCTCTTCTCTCTCTCTCTCTCTCTCTCTCTCTAGCTATCTAGCTAACTAGCTAGCGAGCCTGCGAGCTTGCTATCTCACTCTCAATTCCTCTCCGTATTTGATCGCTACATCTTTTTCCCTCTCCTCTTTCCTTATCTATCTATCTATCTATCTATCTATCTATCTATCTATCTATCTATCTATCTCTACGAAAAATAGTAGGATTTCTTACTCTTAAGTATGCAACATACATCTAGCCATGCATAAATATTTCTTTCTGGAGCCAAATTCCAACTATTTGAAGCCCTTGACCTTGTGATTTGATTATAGTTCTCGTACATACAAGACGAACTGGAAACTGGATTCTTGTATATAAAAACTTGAAGAAAGGATATACAAAATTATTGCATTTTTATTAAATAAGTATTTGTTATTTTAATCGCTAAATTGTTTTTAAAATAGAGGGCGTATTTTGTATGTTAAACAATAAAACTTTGTTTTTGAATTAATGAAAATTTATAGCACTATCCTATGCATCCTAGTAACACCAACTGTAATTTGTACCCACTTAACTGTTTGCACTTCTCCCCAAAATTTGGTTGCAATCGCTCAAGGTAGGACTATTTTAGAGAGCGTGAGAGACGGACGTACGTACGTGACAGAATTTTATATATAGATTGATTAAATGGGAACAACTGTTTTCCATCATTGAATGGTTAGAGCTAGGACAGAATAGGGATCTCCTAGGCAGATCATTAATATAGATCAGAAGACTGGCTGGTGCTAGACACGAACGTTATGGGACGATTGCGTTGATCCCATGTACCTTGGAGGACAGGCCATTAACAACTACCTTCATGGACCTACCCTATACGAGGAACATGATAATCGAGAAAAGCTTGTGTATCAGCAGCATATGACAAAACTTAAGCCCTTCGACATATCTAATGTTATACTCATGATGTTATATAATAACTCATGGATTCTATGAGATATATGATACCAGATGTAGACTAAGAATATCTTTATTGTTTATTGCTCAGGTAGTTGTCCCTTTTGTCTTCTTGTTGATTATAACTTCAATGTATTTGCTGATGATACTAAGGAGCCTGATGAGTAGCTAAACAATTGAATAACTCAGAGCTCTTATTCTTAAGGACATCTATTGACATTTTATCTGGGCCGGTAATCTTCTTAGGGTCAATGCTTTTGATAAGACTTGAGGCTTTACAGAATGTGGTAAAAAAAGACTAAGTTGCTGCTTCGAGAGAGGGGAAGTCGGAAAGTGGGTGGCTCTTGTAATAACGTAGAATCATAGGAAAATATCGTTGTGAAGAACTTTACCTTATCTTACAAGGATTAAATAACCTCCGCGGCATTTTTGATAGTCGTCAGCGATGAGGTAGCTCTATTGAGTATTAGGTTAGAGATTTTCCAGAACTCATTTCCGTATATTTTTAATATCACCTACTTCTCCTCCTCATTCTCCTTTATTCTTTCAAAAGAGGCAATGCGTCTTTGCTACTTGACTCGTTTTTGCTTACATCCCCCTCTTCTTCTTCTTCTTCTTCTTCTTCTTCTTCTTCTTCTTCTTCTTCTTCTTCTAGCTTTTCTTATTTTCTTTTTCTCCTTTCTCTTCTGCTAATCCCTACTACATTTTTTTCACGTGTTGTTGTTGTTGTCGATATTGTTGTCATAATCGTTGAACTTCTTTTTCTTTTACTAGAATTTTTTAAGATTTCCTCATAATTTCCTATTCTTCCTTTAATCTGCCAGTTATTACCATGTTTTCTTCTTTTCCTTCTCCTCTAATTCTTTTTCTTCTTCTCCTTCTTCTCTTCATTATCATTTTCTTTCTTTCTTTTCCAATTACGCCAGTAGTTGCTACGTGTTGCTGTTGTTGTTGTTATTGTTGATGGTCTTCCTTTTTTCTTCTTTTTTTTACTTCTTCTTCTAGAAGTCTTTAACATTTCCTGATAATTTGCTTTTTTCCCCTAATCTGCCAGTTATTGCCACGTTTACCTTTCTTCTTCTTCTTCTTCTTCTTCTTCTTCTCATCCTCCTCCTCCTCTTCCTTCTTCTTCTTCTTTTTCTTCTTCTTCTTTTTCTTCTTCTTCTTCTCGTCCTCCTCATCCTCCTCTAATTTCTTCTTCTTCTTCTTCTTCTTCTTCTTCTTCTTCTTCTCTTCCTTCTTCTTCTCGTCCTCCTCATCCTCCTCTTATTTCTTCTTCTTCTTCTTCTCTTTCTTCTTCTTCTTCTTCTCCTCCTTGTCCTCTTCCTTCTTCTTCTTCTTCTTCTTCCTCTTCTTCTCCTCCTCCTTCTCTTCCTCCTTCTTCTTCTTCTTCTTCTTATCCTCCTCCTCTTCTTCCTTCTTCTTCTTCTTCTTCTTCTCCTCTTTCTTCTTCTTCTTCTTCTTCTTCTTCTTCTGCTCCTTGTCCTCTTCCTTCTTCTTCTTCTTCTTCTTCTTCTTCTTCTTCTTCTTCTTCTTCTCCTCTTCCTTCTTCTTCTTCTCATCCTCCCCCTCCTCTTCCTTCTTCTTCTTCTTCTTCTTCTTTTTCTTCTTCTTCTCTTCTTTCTTCTTCTCGTCCTCCTCATCCTGCTCTTATTTCTTCTTCTTCTTCTTCTTCTTCTTCTTCTTCTTCTTCTTCTTCTTCTTCTTCTTCTTCTTCTATTCCTTCTTCTTCTTCTGTTTCGAATCTTACTTCTTATTCTCTTCACGCCTTTCATTTCCACGTACTTTTCTTTGCCTTCTCCTTCGATTCCTTTTCAGTACTTCGTCTTTTCTTCTACTGTTACCATTAAAAATAATACGACAGCAACTACTTTTTCAACAGCTTCATATAACATTCATTTTTATTCTTCCTTTTTTTTACGTTCTTTCCGTTCACTATTCTGTAATCCTTATTTTCGTCATTTCCCACAATTCCATGCAGTTATCACTAGTTCTTATCTACCAACTCAGCCTTCGAGTTTTCTTTTAGAGATTTTTTTTTTTTTTTTGCTGTGAGTGTTGGGGTGGGGGTGTTCTGCAGTCGTGTAATTTTCTTCATCTTTTCAGACATG